ATCGTCGTAATTATTAAATACACATTAAATTATAAGAAGATTTCTTAAGTCACTTTTTAGCTGATTAGTAATTTATTAAATATATATCATCAACCTTTAGTTATTTATCTTATCTCTCCCACCTGAATTGAAACACATATTGAGTATGTAAGAAGATATAATATATTTAAAATCCAAGTAAAAACAGTGACAATATCAAGATTTTTCCTACCAATATTAATCTTTTAAATACTCAAAGAACTAATGATCTGGTAATTACTGAACTTGCTGAGATTCTTAATGCTCTTGATCTTTCAAATATAATGAATATTGAAGAATTTTTAACTCTTTCCAATGAGAATATTATTTGCAAGATTTCCAAGAATGATCAGGAGCTTGCAGGCTTGTTTAGAGAGTATATACTTAAAACTGAAAGCTCAAATGATGATAGTATTAAAATCCTAATAATTATAATTAATATGATATTAAAGAATTTAAATAGTGTTAAAATATTTTAATTTTAGCAAAAGAATGCAAGTGAGTAATTAAAATTATTGGATAGATTAGAACAGTTTATTGAGAAGAAAAAAATTGATCAATTACAATAATTTTATATAGATAATTATTTTATTAAGACTTTTTAAATATTATAATAAAAATAATATACAAATTAATATTACTATAAATTATAGTGATAATTAATTTAAATATCAATATATAATTAAATTATATGATATATTTTTGTATTATACTTCTTAAATGTACATCCTTTCTAAATGCACACTTATAACTGATTCTTAGAGGATGTATTTAGGAGAATTTTTCTATAATGAATCTACCTATAGTATTAATATTAAAAATTTCAGAATGATTAAATTACAAAAATAAGTGATCTATAATCAAAAATTATTGGTATAGTAATTTATTATACAAGAATTAACAAGATTTATTTATTTTATTTTTTATATATTTATATATAAAATAATATTTTACAATTTTATAAAATTTTTATTTTCTAAATTAATAAATATATTTTTATTTCAGGTATTTTATTAATTAATAATATTATCTGAAAAAAATAAAATAATTATTAGCATTTGTCTGAAAAAAAATTAATTAAATCTTCTCTTTTACAATTTTTATAATTCACATATATATTACTATTTGGTAATTAATTTGAAATATATTTTCTTTTTGACTAATAAATTATTTCTTTATTTATAGTTTGAAATTTTCTATAAATCCAAATCTTTAATAAAATTTTCTAAAATTTATTATCATATTAGTATCAATATATATAGTAATAAGTTTATAAATGAAGTTTTGAACTAGATAAAATACTAATAAAAATATCTCTTTAAGTTTATTTATTTCTTGTATTATAATATAATAATGTTTAAGTAACTGTTTTTTTATTTTGCTAAATATATATTTTTATTTTGATATCATCTATCATTTATCTTTATTTTTAATTTCAAAAATTTAAATTTTTTTAAATTCTTTTATTTTTTTTGAATTATCAAATATTTATTTATTAATATTTGGAAAATATTAAAGATAAGAAAATTGATTTCAAATAATAATTTAATTTGTTAAATTAATATAAAGATATTGTCTTAATCAGATTAATAGCAATAATATTTCAAAGAGACTTTATATTAAATATTATTAGATTATTTATATTAATTCAATATTTTGGATAAATATAATAATATCAAGAAGATAATGAAAAAAGATCAAGCTACTAGTAGTTGAATAGATTCTCTTTGATAATATTTTTTTTCATAATATACTATAAACTTGAAAAAGAATATTTCAACTTTCTTTAATTTGTCAAAAGTAAAAAAATTTGTTTATTTTTTTTAAATATCTGAAAAAAATCAAAAAAAAATAAAAATCACTTGTTTTAGAAAAATAGTTAATAATATTTTATTTAACTTATTATCTAAATTTTTAGATAAAAGTAAAATTAAATATAATATAATATTTTTTTAATTTTTTTAATAATATTCAATTTGTTTTAATTATTATCTAATTTAAGTAATATATTAATTTAATACTAAAATATTATTAAAGTCATATTTTTGAAAAAATTATATATAATATCTATTGAAAAATTATCCAGAAATCTTACTAATTGCAATTCAAACAAAATATTTTATCTGTTTATATTAGCAATCTTTATTAATTGTATACAATTAGTTTTTGATCCAGAATTTTTAATAATATTAATATTTTGAAGATAACAAAACAGTATTTTTGATATGAATTCTATCTGATAATGCATATCATTTTTGTTAAATAAAAAAATTATTAAACTAGTTCAGAATATATATATAATATAAAATTTTTATGTCTTTTGGTATTATAGCATTAAATTTTATCTCATTCAGAAAAAAATTAGAATTTGTATAAATTGATAATTCAAAAAGTTATTATTTATATAAATACTAACTTTTTAAACTGTCAATTTGATAAGAAAGCATGAATTATTTGAAAGAAAAAAGTTTTTATCTTGTAATTACTTTAGTTTATTAATCAATAATTTAAGAAATAAGTTAAAGTTTTTTAGAGACTTAAGATCTGAAAACATCATAATAATTATTAGATTTTTCTGTTTAACATAAATTTTTGATAGAAGATTTGAATTAATTAAAAAATCATTCAACAGTTAATATAGATATTGTATCTCATTTTTGAATTCAGATAAAAAAGTTGGCTATATAATAATAATATAAAAGAGTTGTGGATGAGTAAAGATCAAAAGAGAAGAGTGAAAGTGTAATAGAATAAAATAATAAATAATAAAGGAGATTTGAAAGGCTAATTTTTTGTACTTGTATAAAACTTTCCAGAGATAAGACAATATCTCATGAATGAGGAATATCAAAATATCAAATTAACAAAAATCAAAATACTTGATATTCAAAATTAATAATTCCAATAACAGCAATTTGTTCAGCACAATATGATCTAAAACTAATAGCAATTTGTTCAGCACAATATGATCTAGAGCCCAAAATTAATAACAGTGATTTGTTCAGCACAATACTTATCTGAGTTAAAAAGGAAAATTGAGAGAGTAAATAAAAAAAAATAGAAATATTTTAATGCTAAAATATGTATAATAATAATTTATAATTATCCTCAGTAGCCGGATGATAAATCTAGCTTGGTAATCAATTTAATTAAGGCAACATCATTATTAAGAGTAGCGCTACTTCTGATTTCAATGCTGTCTCTTTGTGAAAGTGGAAATGCAAAGGAAGTCGCGAAAATAGATAAAATTAAATAAAGCAATAAAGGAAATTTTTGAATTATACATGATGATTGGATTAAGACACCGATACTTCGCGTTTAGTAACTTTGACCATCAATGGATGCTTCATTTGCAAGAAAATCGATTTTGAATATTTAACCTTTTTTTCATTAGTCAACAGCTCAAAACGATAGTTTTTGAGCATCGTTGTTATTAGAATTATCACTTCGATTGTTGCAAATTCCTGCCCAGGACTTGTAAAAATATGTATAGGTCACGTATGACAATTGATAAAAATAATCAATAACTTTTTTCGTTTAATAACTTACCATATTCGTGGTCCAGCATTGAAAACAGGATGCTTAAACGAAGTTGGCCTAATAAATTCACCGGATTTTAAGAATCGTTCTGGTTTAAATTCATTAGCATCTTCACCCCAGATGTGCTCGTCTCTACCCATTCTATATGGAGCCCATAATATCATATCGCCAGCATTTACTGGTATGCCTCCGGGTAATATATCATCCTTGACTGTAATCTATGCAAAACAGAACAGATTAGAAAATAATTCTTTTATATAAATAATACTAAAATATTGACATTTACC